TCCGTACGAACTCATCCGAACTCGAAATCGAGTTCCGCTTTTTCCTGTGTGTAGCTAACAAGCTCCTCTTTCCATTAATGTGATCATGCTCAATAACTTTCCAAAATCCTGCTCTTCCGAGATTTTCGACCGTTCCTTTATTTTACAAATACTCGAAAAATACAAGAAAAATATACAAAATTCCACACAAATACTTAAATATTACAAATTACTAAATAAAACTAAAAACTACCCAAAATCCCACAAACTTACTAAAAATACATAAAAATAATAATAAAAAACATTAATAAAAACATAACAAAAATAACACTAACAACCAACAAAGAGAGGTTCATTTGAGAGACTGGAAAAAGTTGTCTTTACCAAAAGCTAATGGTGGCTTGGGTTTTCAAGATATCTGTCTATTCAACAATGCTCTGATTTGTAAACATTTATGGAGGATGAAAACTAGGCCTCATCTTCCAGTAAGTCAAATCCTTAAGGGTAGATATTTTCCTTCTGGTTCTTTCTTTGAGGCTGGGAAGAAAAATAATGCATCTTGGCTTTGGAACTCCTGGATGGATACAAAGACTATCTTTGAAGCATGAATCAGAATTAAGATTGGAAATGGAAGAGCAACTAGAATCCAGGATACATTATGGATTCCTATAGAACACTAACTTTAGAGGCCATTGATTGTGTTTCTCGGTTTTCTCCATTTTTCTTTTCGTTTTTGGTGTGCAAATGGGAAGCTTCGGGCGAATATAATTTCAAGTAAAAATTGGCCGTTCAAGCATAATTAATTAGAAGTCGCGCAAGCAGACCACTAGCTCGCCTAGCACCCCGCAGCACACTAGTTGCACGCCCACATCGACCCACACACGCCCACAGCACACCCGCGCAACCGGCTAGCAGCGCTAAGCAGGCTTAGCGACCGTAGCGAGGTCAGAAGCTCCCAGCGTCCAGATACTAGCGCCGCTAGGCACGAGAAATCTAGCGGCACTGCACAGGCTTAGCGACCCTGTAATGAGGCCAAAACCCACTGCCCAGACGACCAGTACCGTGTCGTGCAGGTAGTAACTAATTTACAGGAAAAGGGGGCCATGGAATACACTATTGTGGTAGCCGAAACGGCAGCTTCCCCTGCTACATTACAATACCTTGCTTCTTATACAGGAGCTGCTTTGGCTGAATATTTTATGTGCCATAAACAACACACTTTAATAATTTATGATGATCCCTTCAAACAAGCCCAAGCTTATCGTCAAATGTCTCTTCTATTACGAAGACCGCCTGGCCGCGAAGCTTATCTAGGGGATATTTTTTATTTGCACTCACGCCTTTTGGAAAGAGCCGCTAAATTAAGTTCTAGTTTAGGTGAAGGAAGTATGACCGCCTTACCGATAGTTGAAACTCAATCGGGAGATGTATCCGTTTATATTCCTACTAATGTAATTTCCATTAGCCTTATCCCATTCTCGCTTTCAGGTCGAATGGCGGGCATCTCACTTCCAGATTGCTTACTCTTTCCTCCTTCCTTTTAGTCAGGAGTTCAGTCGCTTCGCTCGGTACTATGCACTGGTCAATTAAAGCAAGAATCCTGAAGTCAATTTCCTTTGCTGAAACAACTTTTTGAAAGCTACCATAGGAAGGATCTTAAAGGGAAAGAAAAGATGAAATAAGAGCACGAAAAAAGCTATGAAATTCTCGACCTTCTAACGCACGTTTTCTTATGCCCATGAGTGATTAGACCTCGAAAAAGAAGAGAAAGAAATACCGACTTTTCTGTCTTTTAATATCCCAAAGAGGTCAGAAAAAGGGCAAAAAAGGTATTACTTATTGTGAGATTCAAGATCACCTGGGGTTAATCAACTATTTGCGAGTGCAATAGCCGCAGGCAACGAGACGACGACTCTTGTCTATGTCATCAGTATCGTGAGGGACCGAGAGGTCGGGATAGAGGACTGTTAGCTACCTTAAAAAGAGCCGGTATTATCTATCTAGTACTGAGCGACCATCTGTATGCAGACATTAGACGTTGTGCATTGGTTCGACTACCTGCGTTGGTAAGATCGGGATAGGGTCGGCCTATCAATCTGAGCTTAGGACGCAGACTAGAAACGACTGTGAGCACCGCAACACGGTCATACCATGAAGAACTGTGGCTCCATACCCGAAATGATGTGGAATCGATCTCTACGGGACTTCGCTTGAGAAAGAATGAGAATGAGAACAAGAGGGAATGAACAAGACTGGAACGAGAAAAGTAGGATAGGAAGGCAAAGGAAGAGATAAGAGTGGCAAGGCAAGATTTATCAGACAGCTTTGCAGGTATTAATAGGGGCGCGCGTGACAAAAAGAGGGGAATGGTTTCCCCCCTTTCTGGACTTCCCCCCTTCCCCCACTCGTTCACAGCTCGGCAAGTCTGCTCACTTCTGCTCGTTCGACATACTTCCAGAGCATGCCTTCACTGCCTTCCTTACTTCTTGGGGGGTAAGAGCAACATGTAGTTCATATTCAGCCTAGCTAACTACACCACACCTCTGTTTTTGGGCGACGGTGTGGGCTAGGCTTCTACTCCTACATGTCACTCTTACCCCTAGGCATTAGCCACTCGGCCTTACCGGCCCCGAAAGGCCTTCGCTACAGGCTACCCACCCGGGCAGTCTTCTCTTGTTTTCGCTTTCAACTAAAAATTTCTTTCCCGCAAGCGAAGCCCCTTAGACGCGAGCGATTCCCATTAGGGGAAGGTGAACAGGAAGCAGACTTGGGGACCCTTACGCAGGAGGTTAGCAGATTTTCTAGGTGTTCCGGGTAATGCGGTTAAAGACAAGCAATAAGGAAAAAAAGAAGGCAAAGAAGAAAGATAAGCAAGGAAAAGAGCTCAAAAGAAGTAAAGAAAGGGCTCATCTCTTAGTTTCTTAGCTCGCATGAGTCATATGATTCCTCATGCTCTTCTTCTCTGATCTTGAATTACAGACAAGTTTACAACCTTGTCTTCATCCGCTAGCTACAAGAGGGAATAGAATGTAAAGCCCTTACTGGATTGGTCATCGGATTCCTCATCCCGAGAAAACCAGTGACGTGTAGGTTTTCCTTGTTGCTTCAAGACTGCTCCTATGCCATCGCCTGAAGCGTCAGTCTCAATGATGAAAGGCTCGTTAAAATTGGGCATGGCCAGAAGAGCACTGGATATAGACTATAGGGTCTCATCCCTGCTTCAACCAGAGACGGGGAGAGGGCATCGTAGAATGAAATGAGCCAATGCGAAGTGCTCTCCTTGTCTGCTGCCCCTCTTCCTCCAAAGCATTCAAATCTCTGATGATACCAGTTGTTATTTTATTGAATTTGCTTCACTAATAGGATCCCGATTTGACTTTGATTGTTATGGACTAGTACCAAGATCGAGTCCTAGACAAGCGGATCTAATTTTAACAGCCAGAACAGTAACAATGAAAATGAAAAAAATTGCAAAAAGAATCAAAGTGTAGGTTCGAGTCCTCTTTCTTTTTTCCTATTCTTTTTTATGAGCAGCTTTTTTTTAACTTCTAATGAAAGGACTTTTTCTTCGATTTTTTCAATAAAGCCGACCATTTTTTTTTTTTTTTTTTNAATCCCAAGTCTTTGCTATTGATGCTACATAAGCAGTCTTTGTGCTCTTCGGTGAATCGTCTTCTTCTGCTTTTTTGAGCTCTATTGTTTTCTTTCTCATTAATGGACTCTTGATGTATACGAAGGAGTGCGGTTCTTTCGAGAAATTCCTACCTCTCTATCTATCTCTGAGATGTTTGGATTTTTCAAAACTGCATGGGCATGCGCCTGTTAAGCCAAAGAAGGTTCTTTTATCATAGGAGCAAGCTCAATTTCTTTTATCCAAACTGTAAAGATCAATCAATTCAGCAGGCAAAAGAAAGCCCTCTACTTCTTTGTTAGGAGAGTCATTCTCGTCTTGTTGTCCATATAATCTAACTCGTATTTGAATCCCTAAGTCTGCTAGTTAGTGAAGAGATATTTCGAGTTTCAGTTTGAAGCCCAAAATCCGCTAGCGCGCCCTAGTGCCTGCTCGCGGGCAGATTTCAATTTTTTTATCTCGTATTTGCTCGGTTTTTCGAGCCCTATATTGGGATGTGTTCCAAGACCTAGAGGATATTCCCCAAAACTCGCTTTTCTCCAGTTTTCTCCATAGGTTTCGACTCTTACACTTAGAATTTCATCTCGATTTTCTTCTCTATTTTTCTCGGATTAATCTTGTATCTCAGATTCGACCTCAATTCCGTTTTAATAGTAAGTTTTCTCTTCATCTAATCTATGAATATGATTGCTTGGGTTAATTTGTTGATGTTGTTGAATTTAATATGAGTAACTAATCCGATTTTCTAGGGATGGGGGATAATATTTTGAATTCGGTTGTGATTGTCGTGCTTGTTGAATCGTTCAATTTATGTGAGTTAATTTGAAAATACGGTTTTTGATCTTCATGCTTGAATGTTGAATATTGTTGAAGAGTGACACTTCAATTTACAATTGGTTCCCAATTGAATATGTTTATTCTCGTGTGTTGTTTTCAATATAATAGACTTGTCAATTAACCACCTTCTAAGTCTATTTTATCGACTCTTAGAATTCAAAGGGAAGGAGTCGATCGATCTAGGCTCGAATAAAATAGGCTTGTTCGTAACTGTATTGCCTATGTGTTAAACGACTCGTTAATTTGTCATTCACATTTATTCTCTTGTTACGAAAAGTTATTGAGGATAAATCTCTGAACGAGTGGCTTATTTAAATCTTTTAACTGAACGATCACTTGCCCGTTAATTGGATTTCGAATGAAAACAATTATCCCCGACTCCCTAGATTTTATATCACTGTTGATTGATTGCTTTTTCTTTGATTTCTAATCTGCGTTTCTAAACTTCTTAGTTGTTAGTTAAAATTCAAACCAATCTTTGAATTAGGATGTCTAGGAAGTTAATTTCTTCTTTTTGTGCTTGAATAATCGTGCATTATAATCCAGCTAATCTTCCTAGAGAGATCGACCTGGGGAATGAATCATTCGGTTCGAATCTCGGTAAAAATAACATAATTTGCTACAATGCCAGTCGGGTTGTAGGGCAACAGCGTCCTAGTACTTTCTCGCGCCAGTATCCCGCGCCCGCAGCATACTGCAGCACTATGAACACTGTCTCTGCCGCACCCGTGCGCCCTCATCTCAGCCCCCGTGCGCCCTCACCGTCCCTGCAACGCCCGCTCGCTCGCACCTCAGCGCCCCAGCGCCCGCATACATGCCCAGTGCCCATGCACACCACTGCAGCGTACCATGCTCCGCAGCGACCGTACGCCATACCAACAGCACCCGCGCGCCGTGCCTCAAGCCCCGTGCGCCCATTACTCAGCGAACTATAACACACCTTTGCTACGCCCAACAGCCTCGACCAGGTCAACAGCACGCCCAACCGACCCGACCTAGGTATCAGCAGTCCCGCACCGTGCTGGGCAGCTGCAACACCCGGTCAACCTAAGCAATTGTTTATTGTGTTTTTGTGCTTATTTTCATGTGTTTTTCGTACCTTAGTTGAGTCGTTTTAGGTTCGTTTTCGTGTCGACCAGTCCATTTTATCGTATTTCGTGTATTTTTGCGTTCGTTATGTGTTTTTGTGTTTTGTCGTATTTTTGTTGTCTTTTTGGTGTTGATTAGGTCCACATTGTTCAAGTTTGGGGAGACGAGCCTTTTTCGAGACATTTCCGAGCTGCTCGAACCATGTCCGAGCCACCCAAACCACCTGAGCCGCCCCAGGAAGATTTCGAGACAAGACTCGCGCACAGTCCACTCGCCATTGAAATTGCATTCGCGCCTGCGCAAGACCAGGTGCGCGCCCGTCGAACCCATGCACCTGCCCGCGCCCACGCGCCAACGCTTACGTCGCGCCCGCGCCCTGGCGCAAGATGCCCGCGCCTAGCTGCCCTGTGCGCGCCCGAGGAAGTCTTAGCACTCGCTGCGAGGCAGTGCTCGCGACCGGAGAGATGCAACATGAGGCGGCCGCGTGCCCCAGCACTCGCAGCGAGGGTGATTTCGCGTCCCGCGAGCCGAGCGCCTCCAGCAGCCCCTGCGGCACTCGCAGCGAAGAAGCTCTCGCGACCTGCGAAGCACCGACCCTAGGCAGCACTCCCTTTGCACTCGCAACGAACGCCCGTTGGCAACCTACGAAACGCTCCCATGCTCACCATTTCACTCATGACCCAACTTTTAAGTTAGAAATTAGCTCTATTTTCTCTCTTTTATTTTTATGCTTTGGTTGGGAGGTCCAAGCTTGACATTTTCCGGTATGTTTTTCGGTAACTTTTCCGGCTACTTTATTTTTATCTAAAATTTGATCTTTATGCATTATTTTTGTCCAAGCTTGAAATAGGAGGATAAGTACCTTGATTAGGGCTTATTACTTCGAGTTTGTAATTTGGTCGAGATTTTATGTTAATGCTCGATTTTAGGGCTTTGCTTTATTTTCATTGCTTGTTCAAGTGTGTTAGGATTTGATACGTGCTTATCTTGTGTAAAGGTCTCGACTTTGTTTAAAGCGTGATGATTTAGTTAAGAAGGCTCGTGTTAGGTTACATAGGATCACTTGGCTCGCATGTTTTCTCTTTGTTTATTTCATGCAATCTTTCATTCCAATCTCTCCCTTTTCTTCTAATGCTTTCAATTCTTCGTGCAAATTAGCTTAATCTCCCTCAAATCAAGTGAGTAGCATGTGTAGGACCTTATTTTCGATTATGTGAAATGACGACTAGAAAGTGAATGAAGCTCCAAACAACATTCCTTTGAGAATGACTCGAGTTGGATACTCGGTTTTAAACAATCCCCAAATTACTACAAACAGCGATCCACTAGGCCGAACCGGGTTTGACCTTGCGTGGACCGGCCGGCTCAAGCCAGTTGTAAAGAATAATTTTCCGAGCCTTAGAATTTATCCGACAACCCTAGTTGAGCCTAGAAAGTCGAGGGAGAGTTAGAATAGTTTTATGTATTTTTATTAGTTTTCTTTGCCTTAATTGCTTGGTTTCATTAACTAGTTAGTCAAATCTAATTCCTTAATAATTTTCTAAGTTAATTAAATTATTAAAGTGTAGATTAAGAGGTGTCGAGCCCTCACGAAGATCACGTGCTTATCATTTCATTCATTCAACATTAATAGTTAAGGTGGAGTGTTTCTATGCTATACCTTATTCCTCATAAACGTGAGATATTATGTTTTATGTATGCAATGTGTTACATGTCGCCTGCGATGGGTGATGAGAGTGCTCGGCTTGCGATTGGTGATTAGAGTGCTCGGCCTGCGAAGGGCACACTACAAAAAATTGTTATGTTCCAACGGAAAATCCTATGGCAATATATTCAAATGAAATTTCAATGGATATTCCAATAGTATAGCATCCGTTGGAATAATTTCAATGAAAATTCCAACAAAAATATTCTGTTGGAATGTGTTTTTCATCGAAATTTTAGTTGGAATTTTAGGTGAGTAGGATATTCTTGTAATCACTTGGTTATGCCTTGGACTGTTGTTGTTGAGTTTTAATATAAGCTTTAACATTTTGGAAAAAAAAAAAAAAAACGGCTATATTTCCAAATGCTTTTTACCGTACAAATTTCTGTTGGAATTTTTATTTTCACCCCCCATTGGAAAATCCACCTTTGGAATCGTCAAAATCCAACGAAAATTCCAATGGAAAATCCATTGCAACGGAATATTTTTGTTGGAATTTCCGTTGGAATCCATTGAAAAATTTCAACGGAAATAATAGTATTGAAATATCCATTAGAATTGGCGTTGGAATAATAGAATATATTTCCGTTGGAATTTCATCATTTTCTTGTAGTGGCGACTCAGTGATATGCATGTGAAGGGCTAGCTGTTGTATTACGCCTGCGAATGGCGATACCTGTGAAGGGCAACCAGATGAGATCAGTTTTATATATTTCATGCTTAAACCATGATATCTATTTTTATTCTGAATAATCGTATAGTATGGATCTCACGGTGAGCTAGTTGTTTTGCTCACCCCCACAATTATTATTTTTCAGGTTAAGCAGCTGGCAGCCGACACGAGGGATGATGGTGGTCGATTTTATGCTATTAGTTATTTATGCTTCTGCATACAACTTTCGAACTCTTGACATGTTTTAGTTTTTCATATTTGAGACCGAGTTTGTTTTAAGTTCATTGAGACTAAGTGTTTAAGAGTTTTATTTATGTCTTGATTTTGAGAAGCAAATTATAAGTTTTGAGAAGTGATTTCACTAAAAAAAACTTAAGTGTGAAACTTAGGTTAGGTTTTAAAACAGAAGAAAGAATATAAAAAAGTTTTTAAGTAAGTACCCTAAGAAAGTTTTTAAAGTTAAATTGTTTTTTCGAAAAAGTTCGAGATTATTATGGAACTATTAGTATTTTCCTAAAGATAAGTAGATAGTGCTTACAGGTAACTGTTTTAAACTTTTACTATGTTATATCATATTTTTCATGTTTAATAAATTAATTATACTTAATAAGGAATTTATGTAGAAAAAAATAAATATATCACAATACATATCGCACGTATACTTTACTAATATATAAAAAATTTTAAAAGTTACAAATCTTAAAAAAATGAATGAATGCATGCACAACATTTATTTTTTGTGTTTATGTAATTTAGTTAAATTTTATTATTAGATCAATAAATGAATATAATTTTATACATATTATTACCGTATAATACTTTTTTCTCATCAAGAAGAGTAGTTAAATTATATTAGCTTTGAAAAATTAGGAATATAAGAAAATTTAATATAAAAAATAAAAATAAACTAAGTAGTTAAATATTATATATAATGAAAAATTGCTTTACTCCGACAACCAAAATAAATATAAATATTAAAATATTATTTTGTTGTAATACATGTTCAGCCAATTAATTCAAATTCAGCAAATTAAACACGATAAGCTATTTCTTGTGAAATTTATCGGATTTCTAAACTTTATGAATTATGATAGATAATGCACTGGCAGGTAATAAGTGATATGCGATCACAATCACCATCTATCAATGCTTTATCCCTGTGATACTATGATTATGTAGGATATATTGTGAACAATCGATATGTGAGATTCCCATTTTTTTCCTGAAATCATTATACGTAATTGAAGTTATTATAATCACTCTAGCGGATTCCAAGGCGTTACTTTGCTGTGTATTCTACTTTGGTATTNTTTTTTTTTTTTTTTTTCTTAATTCTTATTTTGTTTCTCTCTCTTTTTCGAGTAGCCACAAGCAACTTGAAGGGCTTTGATCAGCACATTATAATTCTAATAACATGTACAAAATAATTGAAATTTGAGTGGGACTGCTTAACAGGACCAGCAATTACTTGCTGAAATAATTGGTAGTCATTAGTCTCTATTTTTTTGTCTACATAATGGATATATTTGATATATACTTACTATTGTTAGAATTTTAGGCCTTATTCAACGATTATTAATAAATAAGAATATGTATCTTCTATGGTGAAAATTGTACTTCAAAAAAGGAAATATACTCTTAATTTATATAGCACTTTGAAAAGTATGGCATTTAGAAAATAGTTAACTATGTTTTATGCTAATCGCATTATATTTGGGCGGTGTACAGAAATCATTGGTTCATTTTCTTGACCCCACAAAAATGAAATAATTATTAATATTACCATTAATTTGGAAACTTCATGTTTAACTTTGAAAGCAAATACCATTAGGTCGCATGTCATGTGTGTGAAGGATGACGTAGTAATACCATAAAATTAAACAAAGTAAATAGTGTAGGAACTAGGAACTGTTCTTTTTTTACTAATCCCCACACACAAAAAAAAAATAAAAATAAATAAATAAAAAAAGGAAAATAAAGAAAAGAAAAAGAGAGAAAATCCAAATGAAGCATAAATTGGGAAAGGGTGAAAGAAAGAAAATATGGCGTTACGTGCGAAAGCTGCAAAAAATAAGCAACCTACTGCAATAAATTCTAATGATGAATATCAGAAATTGGTATACATACAAACACAAAAATTGGTATACATAATAAATAAATAAATAAATAAATAAATAAATAAATAAAAGGAGGGAAGTCTAGAACAGATAATTCAAAGTTTATCATTTATCACTTCAAACTGCATGCATTGCAGTCCTGTTACGATACAATTAAACACCACACCAAGAACAACATATTAACATAGTACAAATTACAGATTTATGAATTTACATACACGAGATCCTAATTGTCCATCTTTTTTTTTTTTACCTTTTCTTTTACTCNTTGTACTGAATATGTTGTAATTTCCCGTGACGACCATCAAGCTCTTAGAAGCAACCCAAGAAATTAACTACGCGAATCAGATACTGATCAGACAATAATTTCGAAAAAAAGGATAAAATATATGGCAATTAACAATAAGTATTTGATTAAGGAAAGGTAAGACGCTGAAGGCCAAGGTCATTATGTTTTCTGGAGGGAGCGGAAGTCGGCACCCGTCTCTTGGGCATCAAGTTAAAGAAACTATGGCCGTCGGCTGGATAATGACCATATTGCCCTTTGTGTCTGATTTTGAAGGCATTTATTGTAGTTCTCGAGCCTCTGCAATGGCCGACCAACGCAAAGATCAATACCGCCACAGTCAGTAGGACGGGCAGCCGCAGCCTTAGCCTTCTATTCATCATCTTCTTTCCCTACCAAATACACTCTGCTGGAAAAAGAGTGTTTTGGGAGACCAAAAAACATATGTATTGTATTTTTTGAAAAAAAAAAGTTAAAATAAAATTGTTGTGTGGTAACAGGTAAAGAAGCAGAGAGTTGGAGAAAAAAGGTGGACTGAGCTTTTTGAACGAGTCTAATAATTTTCGGTGGTGTAGAGAGAGAGAGAGAGAGAGAGAGAGAGAGAGAGAGAGAGAGTAGT